GGCTGATTTCTTACTCGAAGACCGCAAACGAGTCGTTTAGGTCAAGTGTGCATCGGTCTTTCGGTCCGTGGCGCAGACGGTCTCCATGAAGGAGACGTCGATCAGCATCAGGGAGTGAGGGCCTAGCTCCGTGAGAATGTACTCCTTGTACGCGGCGCCGTTTCTTCGAGGAGCGACGGTACTAAATTCCGACGGGAAAGACGAGATGGGCAACAGCACATTCCCTAACGCACACACACACACACACACTCTACACACAGAGAGGCGGACACACTCAGAGACACATGTGGTGGCCGCCAGACGGCAGGCAAAGACGCCTCTCACCTGGATTCAGATCTGCGTGCGTAGAGGTCACACACAGTGCACACGTGCCAATCCTATGTCGATCATGCAGCTCCCTTAATGCATACCGCAGTGTGCCAGGTTGTGGCTGTGGAGTTGGTACATGCCTGTGGCCAGAAGCGCGATGACAAACGATCCAAATGGCATCTTCTGCTTGGCCCCCGTGGCAGGGTCCAGCAGCACATTCACGCGGCGGCGCCACAGGTCGGTTGCAGATAGCTGAAGTGTGAGGAGTTCTTCCAGGGAGATGCCTTCGAGACGCTGCATGACCAGGTGGTTGTCACGCAGCTGAGAAGGCAGCTCTGCAGGTACGCAAGAAGAGCGCGCGTACGTAAGGTTGGTTGTCTTGTCTCGTCTGCCGACGGATTATGGTCACTGACGTTTGATGACGTTTGGCTGCAGCGGGAGGACACGAGGGAATTGGGGCAGATCCATTTCGATTTTTTGACTGTCGATGGTCGCCCAAAGGCTGTCGTACACTGCATACATGGAGAGAGACACACGTCCTTCTCTTACACGCACACACGCAGATAATCCATTCATTCGGTAGCGCGCACTTCTTTTCTCTCGTTGCAGCTCCTTTCTCCCCTCCTGCAGCGGGTCCTGATCAGGATGTGACAGCACCGCTGCAAACCCGATTTTGATGGCCACCGGCGATTCCGGATAAAGGCTTGAATGGCAAGAACACCGCTGAAGCATGGTATGCCGTACCGCCGTCTCTAGCGTAGCGAGAGACACCGTACCGCTATCCAGACGATCTCGTGAGTCCTTGGGAAGATCGGCGAAATTTACAGCGGCTACATATGCATTTAGAAGAGAAGACACACGTCAGGAAGACAAATAGAGCACTCCCTCCTTGCATCAACTGTCCTTACAGCGTAAAATCTCGGCCAGGACAACGACCTGACAAAGCAATAAAGCGGTCCGAGCCGTCCGAGCCAGGCAAACGTGCTGGGTGCGGCGGGGCCTACCGCATTGTTTCCCCGCATCGACCTGTAGTCACTATTGGAAACAAGAAGGAGACAATCGTGAGATGGTGTCGTGTGGGAGGAGGAGACACGAGAAACACCCCTGCTCTCCCCAGCTCACTCAATGCGATAGCGTGGCACAGCCGCGAACGCCGAATTCTAGTCCCTTGTCGAGCTCACCGAGCATGTCCCGGTGCTTCTTCCAGAAGTCCTTCAGCAATGGATCAATCTTTTGGGGCTCGGTGCGAAGCTTGACGTTGCAGTAGACAGGTTTCAACCTGCACACCTCACGCACCAGCAAGCTGTAATCCCACTTGTCACCCACAGCTGGCGCATCAAGCCCTTTCCTGCCGTTAAGGGCGGGGACAGACAAGACAGTGCGGCCGTCCACAAAGACCGACGAGGCAGCAGTGAGGATGAGTGTCTGCAGGCCGACCGAAAGCATTGCAACCTTAGTTTCTGGCAGGGCCCGGGCGGCTCTGAATCGTCGGCACAATAAGACGGAATGGGGGCTGCATGCAATTTCCTGTCCGGGGGAGTTGCTGGCCGGTCGAGATGCGCGTTCAACCGCAACATCCCTAACACCTTTGGCAGATCTCCACTCCTCTCACGTGACTGTTCCGAGTCTTCCAACCGGGAGAGATCGTGCTTCAAGCCGGCCCGACGACAGCTGCTCCTCCGACTCGATCCTCGATATGGGTGTGTTCGACTTCAGAGCGCTGTTAGGGAACCAGACCGACACGCCCGAGATCTACGAATTTGAGCCCTGTGTCACGTACGGGCTGCAGAGTCGGCGGCGGTTTGACATCGAGGCCTTCATCCGGGGCATCAAGAGACAGATTTGCACGAGATACATGCCCAGGGAGATCTTTGAGGGCGTTCCCGGTGTGAAAATTCCCGAGGATCAAAGAGACAAGAGGGTCGTCACACTTGACCTGCGCTGCATCAAGGAGGCTCAAAGTACGCCATCCTACCAGTCAGTCATCCACGGATAGCCTCATCGTCACAAGCAAGAAACAAAGAAACGCTGCGGTTTCTGCTGCCTGCACCCTTTACATGCGATCGGCCAGTAGGCGTGCGCGCTTCTATGTGTGGCAGTGACTCTGATACATCAATCGACGTGTGAGCGGTCAGAAGCACGTGCAACCACAGATCTACGTCTGTAAGGAGGAGATCCAGCCATTGGTGTTCCTTCTGAAACGTTCCTTCACCCTGTCTCCGTCCTCGTTACCCGTACTCATCTCCCGCCCCCTCTGCCGTTCCCCCTGAGTGACCCCCACGCGCTCTAGCGCACCTCGCGCGTCTCCCTCATGGCGTCCCAGCGCAACCCGGATCTCTTGGCAGATCTCAAGAGATCTACCACCACCGGCAGCACTGCCATGCGTTTTGGTTTCCAGACGTTCGGCAGCGCCAACCCGTTCGGCAGCGTCAACCCGAGCCCATCCACGCCGCCCAGCACGCCTGGCTGCGGACAATGCCAAAGCGTCCGCCATCTCAACAGCCCGCTCAACCCATTCCGCGTCGGATTCAAGAGAAACGACCGCTTCGTGGCGTGTGTAGCCATGACACCCGCCATCGAAAGTGCCATCAATGGCGGCACCAAGCAATACAAGCTCGTCGACAACGGCTACGCTCAGCTCATAGAAGACCTCACCCAGCCCAAGCAGGACACCCCCAATCCCCTCATCGGCCTCCAACACCATGAGGCCGAGATCCGAGGCCTCAGCAGCGGCATGATCCATCTCGCTGCCATCATGACCATGCGACTCTGCAAGAAGCACAACTACAACACGCCCCTCCAACGTGGTGCTAGTGACAATGCGGCTGCCGACAGATACCTCATCAACCCGATGAATCGCGCAGATGTCCACAACCCACTTGCCAACGATTTGACGGCTGCCACGCACTGCGTCGCGGAGCTCGGCAACTTCCTCGTCAAGAACGACAGTGACACGGCAATGGCGCTCATGCAGGCGCTACCCACCATCCTCCAGGACTTCGCCACCCGGTCAGTCCCTTCCTCCGGCCGCAGACGCAAGACCCCATCGGCCGCGGCTGCTGCTGCTGCCGCCCCACCGGCAGATACGGAGCCGTCCTCTCCCTTCACCCCCAATGACCTGTTCGGCAACATGGACCATGATGAGCAGGACGCCGATTTCGAGATGTATGATGACGACGTCGCCATCCCCCGTCGAGACGTCATCCCGTCCGCCCGCTACAAGACGCTGCCCACATTCCAGGCCCGCATCGCCTCCATCCCCGCCGACCTCAAACAATTCATGGGTGAGGCCGCAGCACCCAAGGACATCGTGCTGCTCACGAGTGCGAGCGACTGCACGATCGACTACCCCAATGTGTTCGACGACGTCACTAAGCAGCAGGCTACCCTCTTCGCCAGCCAAATCGCCTCTGTGCTTCCCCCGGCCAAGACACCACGCGCCCACACCGCCCAGGACCTCCTCCTCAGCTGGGGCAAGCGCATCGACAATAGCGCTGAGCTCACAATCAAGGACGTCATCAACTACGTGGCCATCCACTATGCCATCAACCTACGCGCCGGAGTCCCCTTCCGTGCGTCCCAGGGACCATCAGTCACCACACGTGGTCGCACACAGAAGAAAGCTGACTGATGTAAGGCGCCACTGGAGCTTCGCCCCCAGTGGCAACAACGCACTCTACCTGTGCTGCCTGCGAATCCGTTTTCCTCGTCTGTTGTGTCTGTCTGCTGTAGATCTGACTATGTATCGTCATCAGTCGGATCGCCGCGCGCGTCACCCACCTTTTCCCGTTGCGCGTGTTGTACTACTGGGCATAACTCACTCACTCACGTACACGAACAAGGGGCTGCCGTCCACCCATCTGAGCATGCAATCTCGTTGCTTTTGTCTGCGTGTGAGAATGTGTGTGCGAAGCTGTCGAGTACTCGTCAGGTCTTTCGTTTTCTTCGGTTTATGTCACGTGTCCGCCACCTACTCCACTACTTGCGTACACATACTCGCTGCTCTTACTGCCGTTGCACATGGCGTACGTGCCGCTGTGAGTGTCTTTTTATTCTGCAGCCAACACACTGTGAGCCTTTCCGCAGGGTGCGTTTGGACGGCTTACGTGATTTCGCCTCACTCTGCACTCAACGCCGCCTGACACCATCGTCCATCAAGGCTCTCTGTATGCGTGTGTTCTCTATTCAACCTCGTGCGATGTGTGCTCTTGTATCACGCACCCCCACCCCTTTCCTGCGTAAGATCCATGCAATGCGAGAGCGACTGGGTGCCCTTTTCGCACCTGGCGTACATGATATGAAACATGGCCTGTACTTACTTTGTTCGCCTTGGTCTACTCACTCGTATTTGGGCTTCACGGCGCGTGGATATGTTGTTCGCTGGGATGAGCATGTCGGTCATGCATTTCATTATGGCACTCGCTCTCGATCTTCGCAGCAACACTTGTATGGCTCTCTGTCGCGTCATGATGTGTGTACGTATGCATGTGTTCCTTTGTGTTCATTCGATACGTTGCGACTTACTATATCTCAGATGAAGTCGATCGAAGCACAGGCCATTGATGTATTTCAACCGTCGCTCAACACACAATCGTCGTCTCGTCATGACTTGCATGCGCTGCATCGCCCCCGTTTTGGCCCTGCATCTGGCCGTCCTCGTATGGTCCGTGGCTTGCGTTTGAGGTATCATTCGGTGTCTTCCATGCCGCCTGCTTTGCCTTTTCGTGCCTTTTCCCCCATTCATCCATCTGCTGACTCACTCCCCTCTGCATTGCTGAATTCGTCTGTGTCACCACCCACCCTCTGTGCCACTGCTGCTTTGCTTGCTCGTCGTCCATCCCCCAGCCAGGCTATCCTTGCTGCGATTCGTGCATTGCCGGACGCTGACAAGTTGAATGACATGTCGTGCTTCCGCCAGGCAGCGATTCATGCCATACGGTCTCTCCTGTCTGAGACTGCTTCATCGTCATTGTTCCATGTCCAGGCAGCGTTCATTCCATCTGCGTGTCCATCCATCACGACTCTGTTTTACAATGCTAAGCGAATGGCGTCTCAGCCTCTCTCACAAGTTGTTTGTCCATGCCATTTGCCTCACTTCGCTCAATGGCCACGTATCGATGGGCATGTCTGTGTACGCCTGAGTGACCCATTCATGCGTGACGTTCTGTCTGTCCCACTACACTGGAATCGCAACAGTACATGCTTACCTACTTTCTCGGCGGTTAAACGTCAGTTTCGTTCTGTCGTGTTGCGTCTCTTTCGTCGTATATCTCAGCCAGAGCCACCCGCGCACGTGATCGATCAGTGTGCTGAGTCTGTGTTGCGCCCTGCGTACAGCCAGTTAGCCGGGTCGGGTCGTTTTCTTCCAATGCACGATGTGTTGCGTCACTCTACCCTTCTTCGCTCACTTGCATGTGCTCCAGTTGACAAGAGCAAAGGTGACATGGCATGGATGTGCCCACTGCAGTAGTGACAGCGGTGTGGCGATTGCATGTGAGTAACCCATCTTATCGTGTCTCTACGTGTAATGATGATGTGGTGTATGATGATTTTAGCCAGCTGCCGAAGTTTTTGGACGGCCCACGTATTGCCCAGCCCCGTGTGCATCACACGTGGGGCACGGCTATCGTGTGGCCCAAGGCGAAGTCTTTTCGTACACAGCTTACGTCATGGGATGCGATGAAATGGCGACCTCTGAACTCTTACTTTCGCCATCGTTTCGCGCGCATCTATGCGGATGTAGGGCGGGCTTCGGGTGTGTTGAATGAGTACATGTCAGACCATTTTTCTTGCATGCGTATCAGTTCTCTTTTCCATGCATTGGCGTCACATAATCGCTTGTTGCATGGCCATGCTGTATTATGTGGATCGCTATCGTCGACTGTGTCTGTGTGTGTGCATGATATTGGTAATCTTTATCCCAGCTGCCCCCGTGTGGAGGCTCTCGCTGCATTGCATGCTGCGTACAACTGGCTGAAAGACACAAAGCGTTATCGCTACGTCAACATTCCTCGTGCCCCTCCCTGGCCTGTCCATCGTAGTACTCGCTCTCGTCTCTATCCCTCTCGCTTTGGATCCATGCGATGTGCCACGGCAACACGTCTGAAGCCGTTTTTCAGCACTAACGCCAACTATCTATCATGTCGTACGTACACCATCGAGGATATCGTTCGTGTCGTTGAGCATGATCTTGCATTCAGCTACACTCGTGTGGGCGGTGTTTTGTTCTATCAACGTGAGGGCTTCTCGCAGGGCAGCCATATCAGCCCTGGTCTTGCTAATCTGTTCGCTGCTGACAGAGAGCGTGCATTTGTTCATTCACTGTCTCCAAATGAGCGCCACGTGTTCTCACTGTGTTTCGTTCGACGATGGATGGATGATCGGTTGTTGATCCTGCCACCTGTCGACTATTTTCCATCTCATTACACTCATGCCTATTCATCTGTGGTGTCGCGGCTGATGGCTACTGATTTTTATCATGAGCACTGCGTCTTGGAGTTGGATGCATCTGGTGTGTATGTCGGTTGCGATATCCATGTGAATGGCTCTCAAGTGTCTCTCTCTCAGCACAACCCCAATGCTGACTTGCTCACTCGTCCCCTCTCCTCACCACTTGCCTACATTCGGTACATTCATGCCCATTCTGCCATGTCTGATGCTCGTAAAGCTAATCTGCTGTATGGACATCTGCTGCGTGTGCTTGACTTTACCATGCGCGAGTGTCATGAGTCTCTCGTGATTGGTCTCTCTCGCTGTGTGAATGAGTTGACTCGTTTTGGCTTTTCACGCCCTTTGATTCATCGCCAACTCACTCGTGTTGCTCGCCACTTCCCCGCACTGCTGCGTGCATTACGTGAGTGATGCCTTGCTTGTCGTCTGCTTGCCCGTTGTTGTCGTATCACCGCATTCTGCGAGACTAGTACCGCTGCGGTTTCTGCTGCCTGCACCCTTTACATGCGATTGGCCAGTAGGCGTGCGCGCTTCTATGTGTGGCAGTGACTCTGATACATCAATCGACGTGTGAGCGGTCAGAAGCACGTCCAACCACAGATCTAACGGCTGAGCTGGCTACGTGTGTGTGTGTTGTCTTATCCATGATCGAATGGAATGCCAGCGCTCTTGTTCACATACGATCTGGACATAGGCACTGACGCGGCCCAGGAGCGCGTTAACAGATGGGAGGAGACGTTTATCGCCGTCATGTCCGACTACACCGACCTTGAGAATCCTGGCAGGCACTTCCCTGGGCTAGAGGTCTCTTTCTTGACCCATGGGGGCAGAGGTCAGGCGGGCAAGGAGCACTACATGTGACATTATACGAGGAAGGGGCACTCTCTGACTCTGTGTCTCCTCTCTCTCTCTCTCTCTCTCTGCGTGTGTGTGTGTGTGTGGTGTAGCCGACGCCCTCTAGTAAGGAAGCAGACGGAGACACGGAACAATCCTCTGCTTGATTCCTCGTGTGTGTCCCTGCCCCTCCCTCCCTCCCTCTCTCCCTCTGTGTGTGTGTGCGTGTGTCTGTGTGTGCAACAAGTCCCCCCGATTGGGACACCGGCGACACACAACCACCAGAAGAGTCGCCGGAATGGTACGAGGGCGAGTGGGTGGTCTGGGTCGCGGGCGCGGGGGCGGTGACAGGGACGGCCGTGATGACCTGTGTGGCGGGGGCGGTGGGCGCCTGGCTCTCCCGGAGGAAGAGACGAAACGCTGTCGGGGGTGGGCTGACCGATGCCAGTGCCCATGCGGCAAGTGAGAGGAGCTAGCCAAAAGGCGGGCTGCTCACACAGAGAGAGACACACGGAGGAACGGAGTTTTCGGTTTAGGAGGCTGTCTGTCTGTGAGGATTTGTTTGAGCGATAGATCTCTCAGTTTTTCGGTGTGTCGTCGCATTTGAGCTCAATCGCTCTGCCCTCGGTGTGTGTGTGTGTGCCTCGGTGTGTGTGTGCCTCGGTGTGTGTGTGTGTGTGTCTGTGTGTGCGACAAAGTGGTGAAAGATAGTCCATGGAAGGCGTGGACTGATAGGGGTGGGTGCACTATTAAGGGACCCATGTCTGTGCAGAGATTGATTGGCCAAGACTCTGTGTGTGTGACTGCATCGATATCGACGCGCAGACGGAAAGAGAAGAAGAGACCACACAAGGAAAGAGAGCTGGCAGTGTGTGTGGCTGATGGATGGATGTTCGTGGTCCCACCCGCCTCCCATCAATCCGCAGCACACAGACAGACAGACAGACAGACGGACGAACAGACAGACGGATGGATGGATGGATGGATGAGATGAGTGTGTCTGTGCGTGTCGCGTGTCAATCGCATCACTGATCCGATCCATTGCAGTGAGTGAAGTAACACAACACAGGTCATGTCTTGTCCAAAAGTGCCAACTGGCAACACACTGACTGCCACATCCACTTAGTCTGACTAGCCCCGGTCGGTTGGACACATCCCATCCATCCAGATATCCATTCATTCAATTGACATGCGTCATATCAGTCACGATATCACCCTCACGAACGGCCCCACTTGCGCCAGCTGGTAAGCCTCACACAGCACCTCGTGCATCTCCCTGTGTCGCTTCAGCGTCGCCCTGAAACTGGCCGCCCACACATCCGCAGCCCCATGGCCATTTCCGCCACCACTCGGTGACGAGGACTGCTGCAGGGCTTTCCACGCATCGCAGAAGGCCACCACGTGCGCGGCACCGTACTTGCGGACGAGCCGCAGGAAACCATACTGAGCTATCAAGTGCTCGGCCAGGTCAACCTGCACACATTAACCAAATGAGAGAGGGAGGTGTGAGCAGATGTCATCCACCTGGTTGTCGGCCATGGCTTTGAGAGTGGATGCCCTGAACTGCTCGAGGAACAGGCCAGCTTGCACGTCGAGCTCATCTGGGTAGGTCCTGAGCAGCTCGAGCAGGGAGGTAGCCGAGGGGAGGTTGCCCTCCCCGATGGCCTTGGCACTCGCCACCGAGGCCTTGGTCCACTCCCTGACACAAACACACGCCACAGACAGAGGACAGAAAGGAGTGTATGTGTGGGTGTGTGGGTGTGTGGGTGTGTGGGTGTGGGTGCTTACTGGAAGACTTTGAAGAGGGCCTGGTTCTTGAATGCCTCCTCCAGCCGCTCATAGCCAGCGAAGAACTGGAAGAAACACGCCACATCATCTGAACGACACACCACACACACAACGCTCACATGATATCATGAATCGCATGGCTTCCCACATCTGTCTGCCAGCTTGTCGGTCTCTCTTACTTGCGACGGTTTCCCACAGGTCAGTGCCATCCTTGTCCTTGTGTGCCTTGTCTGTCGCGGCTTGTTTGGCGTCCTCGAGCAGCCCCAGCACCACAATGTCGGCCTCCAGGTCCACCAGACGGTTGAAAAACCGACCGTCATCAAGCGAATCCTGACAAGCACCAGCCACACAGAATGCGATGAAGGTCATCCCTGTGTGTGTATGTGTGTGTGTCATGAGAGGTCATCTCTCTGTCTTCAGACATCTGACCCACCTGCACGTGCTGCAGCAGATGGTCCGACAGGTACTGCCCTCGCACTCGCACGCTCCGCCACCCGCCACTCTCCCCTTCGCCCTCTCTCTCCACCACACCGCCCATAGCATCATGCCCACCCAACGGCAGGCGCCTCCCGTGCACACGCCTCAGTGTCGGGTACAGCGACGGGAACCGCGGCATGACCGGCTGCTGCTGCTGCTGCTGGCTGGCATCTGTGTCTGTGTCGCTGTGTGGGGGAGTTGGGGTCTCGTGGGTCTCCCTGAAGTCCTCACAGAGGTCGTAGAAGGCCTTGCTGTCCTCCTCGTTGAAGAGGTACTGCGAGAGGTCCACCAGCAGCCAGTCGGCGCCATGACTCTCACCACCCTCAGTGTCGCCAGCAGCACACGAGACTGCCACAGCCAGCAGCTCCTGGGTGTAGTCCTTGATGGCAACGTCAGTATAGAACGGCGCAACATCTGCTGATGTGGATGCCTCGTCGGCCTCCTCCTCCTGCTGCTGCTGCTGCTGGTGGTCTCTCTCGCCTTTCCTCCTCAGACCGCCCTCAACCAGACCATCCAACAGCCCCGCCATCCTCTCCGCCCGCTGAGCTGGCTGCAGGGACCTGGCAAGCTTCGCCAGCTGCGCCCTGGCCTTCCTGAATGTGAGCTGCTGCTCCATGTGTGTGTCGCTGAGCCAGCTGGTGGAGGAGGCCTGTCCGAGGATCTCCTGTGTCTTGTTGAGCATGGAGCGGATCTGCGCGTTGGCGGGCTGGATTGCCAGGGCGGTGCGGAAGGCCACCTGGGCGGCGTGGAAGGACCGGTTGCGGAAACACGCAGTGCCCAGCCGATGCCACGCCTGCACGCGCCCACCGACGGAACAACCAACACAGATGTGGTGTGTGCGTTTGATGAGTTCACCTTGAGGTTGTCGGGGTCTCTCTGGATGGCCATCTTGGCTGCCTGGATGGCCTCGATGGGCCGCAGCAGTCTCAGGTGCGCCTCGGCCATGTTGGAGTAGATCAGCCCGCGTGTGGCTTCATCACCACCGTCGCTGTCGGACTGCATCGCCACGCCCTGGGCATAGAGTCTCAGGGCGCCCCCGTAGTCGCCTCGTGTGAATGCAGCGTTGCCTTGTGCGCGGCACTCATCGATGGTTGACGGAAGGGGCGGTGCAACGAATTCAGCTGAAGATGACGTGTCCATTGCACAGACAACAGTACCCAGACCGCAGATCTGGACCTTCTGGGATTGGCTTCAAGCTCGCAGTCGAAGCCGGGCAGTAAAAGATGGCCGAGAGCGCGTCGGCGAGCGCGGGAGAGGCCCGTGGGCAGAAGAGAACCCTCGAGCAATCAGATCTCCCATTCTCCATGGACGTGGTACGCCTCACATGACACGCACACACACACACACATCCATCCATCCATCGTGGTCTCTCCTGCATTGGCCTCCAGACGTCGGGCAGTACTGGCGTGGTTGGACCGCTGAACGTCGAGCAGGTGACGCTTCTGCAGCAGCTTCTTCTGGACCAGAAGCGGTGCATCAAGGAGTGCCGGAGGCGCAACGAGCGGCTGAGGGATGAGGCCAGGAGGGGCAAACTCGCTATGGCACTCGTCAAACAGATCTTTGCCATGGTACGCCAACCGAGGAAGGAAGCAAGAGCCAACGGACATCGAGTGGTGGATGTGTGTGAGCACTTGACTTGGATGTGTGTGTTCAGTTGAAGTCTGACATCGAGACCTGTGGGAGGGGCCTGATCCGCCCCAGTGAGGACTGCCTGCAGGGACTCAACACATCCGCTGACGAAGACCAAGTTACGTCACCACACTGCGTGCGCCGTCAGTCGTCCATCGGTGTGTGTGTGTGTGTGTGCAGGTTTGGGTGAGTGGCTGCAGACGGCCACAGCCGACTACGAGAAGCTGCTGCCGCGGGACTCCCAGATGGACACCGACGAGGGCGACGACCAGGACGACACTGCCGAGGAAATCGACCAGCTCTACCAAAACATGCCGCAAACGGTGAGAGGAGAGGAGAGGAGAGGAGATGACCACACAAACACTCTCTGTGCGTCTATGTGTGTCTGTGTGTGTGTCTGTCTGTCTGTCAGGTGCTGGACACACTGCAGAAGTGCGTGGAGAGCGTGACGGGCATCGCCAGGGAGGTCATCCGGGACCAGAACAACCAGTGGCAGGTGCTGCAGCAGCGCACCAGCAACGACCACGATGACGCCCTCAAGGCGCAGAAGACCCTCAATGACAAACTCCACACCAAGTGAGTAGGGACGGGGGGACAACACACGACAGCCAACAGGCAGGGAATAGGCGGGCATGTGCGCGTTGTGACGCCTGCCGTCTGTCTGTCTGTCTTTTGTCCTCTGTCTGTGTGTGTGTGTGTGTGTGTGTAGGCTCCGGGAGCAGACGGCCGCGGCCGAGATGCAGAAGGAGCGGGCGGATCGGACAAAGAGGAGACTCAAAGACCTCGAGGTCAGGCAGAGGCACACAGGCACACGCACAGGCACACCAATGTGTTGTTGTCATCATCCATCCCTCTCCTGTGTGTGTGTGTGTGTGTGTGTGTCAGGAGGACTACGAGGACGTCCGTCTGGAGCTGGATGAGGAGCGGCAGAAGGCCATCCGGCGGGTCCACATTCCATCCGCAGAACCGTCACCCACACCCAAACAGGAGGTACGCAGCACAGCACAGTTCTCCACCCCACACACACTTATGCACTGGGTGGATTGTCCATGTGTGTGTATCAGGATGGTGGTGTAATGGACACGGGCGCCGCGAGCAGCGAGGAGCTGGAGGACGTCAAGCAGCGGCTCGAGAGAAGGACCAATGAACTCCAACACGCTGAGGCCGCCGTCGCCCAACTCAAGGAGCGGCTCGCAAAGGAGAAGGAGCAAAATGTAGGCACGCTGGATGGAATACACCACACACGGCTCATGATTGCTCCTGGATTCGTGTGTGTGTTCAGCGGTTGACGTCTGAGCGCATCAAGCAGTCGAAGGAGTACCAGGGCCTCGTCAAACTCACAGAGGAACAGTCCAGGGCACTGGTACGCACACACCACGCCCTCCCTCCCTCCCTGCCTGCCTGCCTGCCTGCCTGCATCTGTGCCCTTTCCTTCTCTCGTCCCTTCAGGCGGTGTCGCAGGCGGATCAGGCCACTGCTCGCGAAGAGACGCGGACCTACCAGATCAACTTCGACAGAATGCTCGACAAGAAAATGGTACCCACCCCACCCAGCCCCCGCAGCACCTCTCTCTCTCTCTGTGGGCGGGGGGATGGGTGTATGTCAGGGTGAGCGCTTGGCCGAGTTGCGCGAGCGCAACAGCAAGCTGACTTCGGCTGTCCGTGAGCACGAGGAGCGGGTCCGCGAGGTAGAGGACCGGCTGCGTGCGACGCAGGAGGAGCTCGACAAGGAGAGGCACCGGCAGACGCTCGACACGGTCATGCAGGAGCTGCAGAATGTGCAGCGATGCCACAAGGAGCAGCTTGAGAGGAAACACAGAGCGGTGAGGGATGAGATACATGCAGGGAGAGAGAGACTCTGTGTGTGTGTGTGTCTGCTCGTACTGACATCAGTATGAGCAGCTGCGCGCTGAGTACACCAGCCAGCGGGAGGACTACAACAAGGCCGTCGAGGCACGCGACGAACTCGCCAAACAGTGCCACAAGAAGGTCCGTAGGCCATCCAACCCTCACCACCTCCTCTCTCCCACATTGCCCCATCTGTGTGTCGTCGCTTGTGTGTGTGTGCCGCAGGAGGATGAGCTCGACGCGTTGCGTCGGGTGCAGGGCAGCGTGAGTGAGGCGCAGGCGCTCGCCAGCCTCCGAGAGGAGGTGGCCAGGCTCAGGAGAAACGAGGCGGTACGCGACCATACACACACATGCGCGCGCGCACACACACACACACACACACACACACGCCTGGACACAGAAATCGATCTACGTGTGTGCGGCCATGACACACAGAGCATGGAGGCTGATACCAAGCGGGCCGTGGTGAGGAGCACTGAGCACGCACACGCCCGCAACTCTGCGGGGGGACACACACACTCCCCCTATCTGTCTGAATGCGTGTGTCATCAGAAGGACAAGCAGGAGATGAAGCAGACCTACGAGCAGACTGAGTGTGCGTACGAGGACGAGATTAAGAGCAAGGAGGCCAAAGTCACAGAATCCGCCAAAACTGTCATCGCTAAGTGAGCCAACCGGCCGCCAGTGAAAGACGCACGCGCTCGCGGGCGTGGGAGGCCTATGTGTGTGTGGGGGGGAATGTGTGTGTGGCTTAAGGGAGAAGGAGATCGAGCGGTATCGTCACGAGAAGGTCGACTTTGCCTACCAGAGGAAGAAATACGAATATAATATCGACGACCTCCGGAAAGAGGTCAGTGAGTAAATGGGAGAGAGAGGGGGAGGGGAGAACGCTCACTCGCGCGATGCACGCGAGCATTGATATGTGTGTCTGTGCGTGTGTTTGTGTGTGTGTGTGTGTGTGGTTGGGTTCAGAACACCGAGGCCATGGTGCAGCTGGAGTTCGCCCAGACCACCCTCCGGCAATGGGCGAAGCTCATCCAGGAGCTGCAGCACAAAGTGGTCAGTAGCTCATGAGCACAAACGCCTAACCCCCCGAGCACACTAACAGGCACCTCACCATCCCCCTCCTCGTGTGTGTGCAGGACATCTGCGAGACCGATCGCCGCGAGGCCATCGATGGCCGCAGAGAGCTGCAGGAACAAAACCAACAGAACAGCAAAAAGGTATACAGGCAGGCAGGCACGACAGACCAGTGGGCGTGGCGTGGATGGCCTCATCTCATCGATGGGATGGGTGTGCACTGCGCTGCACGTGTGCGTGTCAGGCGTTGCAAGAGGAGGACAGGGCAACCAAGCTGCTCCAAGAGAAAGCGGTGCGCTCTGCCTGAGTGTGTGGGGCCCAGCCCATCTGTGTGTCACTCCTCTTTCCCCTGTCTCTCTGTGTGTCACTGCAGAGTGTGGCCGATGAGCTGAAGGAGGTCAGGGCTGAGTTGGACAAGGCCAGGAAGATCGCCAAGAAGCTCCAGGTCAGTCGGGTCGGCCGGAGCCACTTTAGTGCCCACAAAGCAAGGCGTGACTGACGTGCCTCAGGCACTGCACATGAGATACGATAGATAACCGTTTGTTGGTGCATTCATTGTTTTCAGGATGACTTGGATTTCGCCATGCGGCGCCAGACGTCCAGCCTCTCTGTCATGTGTAAGACTGCATGATCTGAGCTGCCATGCCCTCCTCTGCACTGCACAACACACAATCCCTCGTTTGTGTGTGTGTGTTGGTGATGTGATCCACTGCTTTGATGTGTGACATGACAGCCCGTCAGCAGTCGACAACGGACACGAGCGAGTGGCTCAAGTACAACCAGCACCTCTCGCTCGACGACAAGGTCCGCGCCCTTGCCGACAGGCTCTCTGACTTCGAGGTGATGGACTCACTGTCATGGCACCTATGCATCGCATCAACACGTACACGCCACACATGGATGGGATGGATGGCCATGGATGTGTTGTCAATTGTGTTGGTCCGTCAGCGGATGGTGCGGTGCCCGGTGTGCAAGAAGGCCGAGTCGCGGCGAGATGCGGCACTCAGAGTCTGCGGACACACATTCTGCAGAGGTGCGCCACGTGGGCCGGGGTGGGTCGGTGAGGTGCATTCCTTCATGTCCTTTGGTTGGGCGTCAGAGTGCATTGAGCGTGACGTCAACAGCAGACGCCGCAAGTGCCCCGTCTGCAGTAAGCCAGCCAGCCAGCCAGACAGAAATGCAGCCAGACACGGAACTAACAGAGGCGCTGTGTGTCCGTTGGTGTGGTGTGTGTGTGCAGATGAGAAGTTCAACCAGGGCGACGTGCTGGAGCTGTATCTTAGCTGATGTGGACCTGGGCTAGTCAGACTAAGCGGATGTGGCAGTCAGTGTGGTGCCAGTGTGCAAGACAAGACATGACCTGTGTTGTGTTACTTCACTGCAATGGATCATTGATGCGACTGACATACGACACGCACACTCATCACATGAATCCATCGGTCTGTCTGTCCATCGGTCTGTCTGTGTACTGCGAGTGTATGGAAGGCGGGTGGGACCACGAACATCCATCCATCCATCACTTACTCACTCACTCACTGGCTCTCTTGCCTTGTGGTCTCTCTCTCTTTCCGTCTGCGCGTCGATATCCATGCAGTCACACACACACACACAGTCTTGGCCAATCAATCTCTGCACAGCCGGCACACAGACAGTCACATGTGCACGTTTGTTTCGTAGGAAGGTGTGTGTGTCATGCATGGTTAGGCTGCTTGCCTTCGGTCAGTTAGTTGCTTGTGCTGGTGCTGTTGGCGGCGCTTTGCTGCTCGGCCACCCAGCGATCCAATAGGGACACAAGATCTGACCACAAACAATCAGACACAGACGAACGACATGCCCACACGCAATTCTTTTTCCCCACGGACGCACTCACTCACTCACCTGGTCTCTCTTGCTGCATGTAGATGCGGAGTGCGGCGCGTGTGACGCTGCCGTGTCGCGTCATGACCATCGCGTTGATGTCGGGGTTGGCTGTCACACTGAAGGCCGCTGCGCCGCCCGAACTCTGATCAACCACACACACAGAAGTGGCTGCGTGTTTCCCTGTCACTGTGTCTCTCGTGAGTGAAGTGCCGACTTTGAGGATGTTGACGATGCATGACGAGTAGCGACTCGATGCCGCAGCTGGGTTTCGGTCAGCCGCCTTGTGCATGCCCACGATCTTGACACCAGACACACCATCCACCACCACCTCACCTGAGCACGACACGACACGACACGACACGACACACAGGTGTGCAGCTCCCTCTTATCTGTCTGTCCATCTGCCTGTTTGTGTGTCCTGACCAGGTCTCGTATTGCTGGAAGTCAGATCCACAATGCACTTGCCGCGGCCCATCACACGCACCTGCAGCATGGACACACATACACACACACACACAGACAGGCAACAGAGTGAGAGTCTGTGCCTTGTCAGTCTCGGTGCTGGCTGTTGTGCTCTGACTGACCAGTTCTCCATCGAGTATCAAGGGGGCCGTGTTGCCATTGTTGGCCGCCGAGCAGATGACCAGATCCATCGACGGCAACACCTTCATCAGCATCGCACGCTGCGCATCGAAATGGCCGCCGTCGCCTGACGTCGATGTGGCAGAGTGGTGGGGGTCGATGTACCGCACACCGCGAGACTCCAGGCGGGCTTTGGCATCAGCTCCGGTGTCAGTGTCAGTGGCAAACACACAAGCACCCAGAACTGATATACACACACAACACATGACGCATATTCATCCAGAGAGAGGCCAGCCACCTCATTTCTGTGTGTGTCTGTCTGACCGTGTTTGGCTGTCGTGATGGCCTGGCGAGCTGCGACGTCTGATCCGATCACGAGCACCTTGGGCGAGTTGAAGGATGAAGTGCCAGTCAGCGTGCCGAGAGCATGGATGCCATCGATCACGGCCTGAGTGATGGTCACGAGAAAGGAGAGAGGAAACAGTAGTGCACTTGTTTATGTGTGTGTGGCTGTGTTGTCTTGTGTCAAAGGGAAAAAGGTCCGCTACTTACTTGATGGCCGTCGAGCGAGGAAAGGGCAGATTGGACGTCCATGCTTTGCGTGGCTCTCGTGTGGGGGAGCTCGCCGACAGCCACTGCGGTCACGTGCTTGCTGCCGAGATCCAGCAGAAGGTGCTTGTTGCCAGACGCTGTCATGTTGCACACCAACACCTGCACCATCGTGCGCAAAGGGATCAAAAAGCTGGTGGTGTGGTGGTGTGTTGTGGTATGTGTTCACCTTGTCTCTGTCGTTGGATGAGGAGCACATCTGCTGAGCCTCCATTGCCGTCGGCTTGCCCACCTGCACCATCAGTGAATGAATGGATGGATGGATGGATGGCAGATAAATGCGTTGCTGTGTGTGTGTGCCGTACCTTGACGATGATGTCTGCCTGTTGGATCGTGTGCTGCTTGGACGCCACTTGGGCGCCCCAGAGCATGTAGTCGCTGTCGCTGAAGCCTGCCGACTCCCCCGCACCCGTCTCGAGGACGACCTCGAACCCCATCCGACGCATCTGAGGGACGGACTTGGGAACTGCACGCACACACCAACACACAGCATGCACACATTGACGCACGACATATCCTTCCCCTCCCCTCGTTCCTTCTTTCTGTTTGTCTGTCAGGCGTGCTTGCATACCGATGGCCACCATCTTGGTCGCGGACTCCTTGATGACGCCCACCTTCATGCGTGGCGCCGGCATGATGGTCTGCTGCACCTGCTGCTCACGCTCCTCCTGCTGCTCCCGCTCACGGACGAGTGTTGCGGCCCAGTCGACCTGCGCGCCGGGTCGACGGCGGGCGGGCGGCAGGGGCGGGTACATGTAGCTGTCATCTTCGTCACTCGTCAACTCAATCGGCGGATACTGCATCACACACACACACATGCAGAGAGGGGCAGAGTGAGTGAGTTAGGAGCAGTGGCCTGTCTGTCTGTCTGTCTGTCTGTCTGTTTGCACGGCTTACGTCGTCTGTGTCTGTGTTGTGGTCTCGTGTGGGTGTGTCATGGTTGCTCAACGACTGCTGCGGTGTGTCATTGTGACGCGAAGACGAGGGCGCAGCAGACTCAAAAGGCGCTGCACGCGCCAAGCAGAAGCGACACAAACAAACAAACAAACAACACAAATGGGTCATGTTCGGGTGTGAGTGAGTGAGTGTCGGCCTCCCTCTTGGTGCTTACGGGCAGCGACTTTGCAGACGAAGGTTCTGACGAAGTCCTCGGTGTCTGCGTCAGGCACCTCCACGTTGTAGGGCGTGTCTGCATCGGGCGGGTCCGTCAATCCCATCTGCCGAGCCGCCGCACGGTCCCACTGCAGGATGAGGGACCGACGCCCGCCGGTGCCGCCGGCGCTGTCAGCCATGATCAACGACAGCAAGCGATCAATGAGAGAGAGGAAATGACCAAACGAGCCGAACAAGTCACGAACCAAACCAGCGACAATAAGCTGTCCAAAAAGTAAATCCATTAAAAACCCTAACCCTAGTGATCGAACCCAGCGGGACTGTGTACTCAACCGCAAGTGCTTTGTGCTGCCGTGTGCGTCCCCAGCACCACCAGCGTACGAGGTGTCTCGTGATTCACCTGTTCTCTGACGGTCTGACCGGTACCGCATGCAGGCGTCATCGCCGACGAGCAGCAAAGCCACAGCAGGCAGCATGAGCGGCGGCGTGACGCAGATCAATGTCGGCGGCTATGTCATTGCGTTCCCGAGTGGCGTGCTGCTGCGCGAGGGGCTGCGTGGCATGTGTGTGGCGGTGCTGCTTCACCGGTTCGACGAGTGGATGCTCAAGGATGCCGACGGGACTCTCTTCATCGACGCAGACCCACTCTACTTCATCTGGTCATCCAGCAAATGACACTCATTCATTGACTCACTGCTCTGCATGTCCATCTGTGTGTGTGTGTGTGTCAGGTTGTGTGAGAAGCTGACCCGTCTGAAGCATGGGTGGGTCGACGAGATCAAGATCTTCGACGCCGTGCAGCCCATCCCCTTCTACCACGATATTTTCTTCGCCGAGTCGCCGATCGCCATCGACAGACCGCATAAGGACAGCGAGGACCAATCGGCATTCCGCAGCTTCATGGACAAGATGGGCGCCTTCATCAAGTCGTCCATAAAGGGCGGCAGGGGAGGGGCGGAGGTGCTCAGTGTGACAGTGGACGGCCGCACAGTGGCGACCACCGATGCCACGCTGGCCGACTTCGACACACTCAACGACCGATTCACTAAGTGAGAAGACAGGCACACACAGGGGGTGAAATGGGGAAGCTGTGAAATGATTGACTTGCCTTCTCCCTCCTGTGTCACTTGTGCAGGTATGGCGCCACCCCCATTGTCGATGTGTGTGCCCATCACTTCGACTTGTGAGCATCCAGACAACCACCACAGGCAACAACAGCGCATCTATTCCTCTGTTGGTGTGTTGGTCTTCAGGATCGTCGACTTCGCTCGTCGGTGTCGCCTCTCTCCCGATGCCGCCGTCGTCCCGCCGCCCTCGTGTGCCGACCAGGATGAGCTGGTGCGTGTGAGTGAGATGTACGGCGTCCTCGAGGCCATGTACCCCAACATCCTCGCCAACGACGTCATGCAGACCCTCCTCACCGTGATCGGCAAGAAGCAACCCAACACAACCTGCCTCTACAAGTGAGAACAGACAAACGAAGGGCATCGCGCCATGCTACATGCATTCGTCGGCACGTCTGGCTGTGTCAGGAGTTCGCTCCACGGTTCGTCGTATGCAAGTTTGGTGCAGCGTGTGGTGGGGCGCCGCGGCCTCCTGTTCGTCATCAAGTGCGACGACGCCAACACCATCGCAACCTTCGCTGACACCAAACTGCACCTGCCGGCCGACCCAACATCTCAGCTTCTGTTCCGCTGCCCCGTGTCGCTGTTTTCGGTGTGCGGTGCGTTTGAGGGCGACGGAATCACCAAGATCGAGCTGCCACAGAACGAGCAGCATGTGGCGGTGGCGGGCACACAGGGGGCGGTGACGAACGAGGACGGTGAGCCACGCGGCAAGGTGTGCATCGCTGGCGGCCGCCTGTGGTTGGGGTATGGCGAGCATGGCGGCCCGACTGACGACCTTCTCAACTGCGGTCAGTGGGTGATGAAGGAGGAGCTGCCGGCCAACAGGAAATTTGTGGGCAAGACCATCAACAGGAACAGCAATGCCGCGAGCCTCTGTGGCGCTGAGACCTACAACATCACCGTCCAGCAGGTGGAGGTCTTCCAGGTCAGTCAGTCAGCCAGGCATGAGCCAGAGGGCACACAAGTGGCTGTGAACATCATGACCTCTTTCATGTGTGTGAGCAGGTGTGGAGTGCTGTGCCGGCCGACCCCATCCTGTCTGAGGATGGCCTGCGAGCACTCGTCGCCGCGACGGGCATGACGGATGCGACCCCACAACTACTCTACAAGTTAGCCAACGATGACAGGGAGGCTGGGAGGGTGCCTCGTAATGATATCCCTTTGCTGCTTTGTGTCTGCCTGTGTGTCAGGGGTGAGCGTGACGGCTGGGAGCATGAGGCCATGTTCAAGAATGTGCGCGACGCCACCGACCTCCTGCTGCTCCTCAAAGACCTCGGCGGCTCCGTCATCGCCGCCCACATCGAGGGCGGACTCTCTCCGCCCGCCGACCCCACTGCAGTGACGACAAGACCCTGTAAGGTATCACTGTTCTCGGTGTCCGGTGCGTTTGAGGGCGACGGAATCACCAAGATCGAGCTGCCACAGAAGGAGCAGGACGTGGCGGTGGCGGGCACACAGGGGGCGGTCAAGAATTGGAGACGCGAGGCGGTCGGCAAGGTGTGCATTGGTGACATGACCGACGACGCACCCGGCCGCCTGTGGCTGGGAATCGGCTGTCCCCGCCCGGCAGGCGACCTTCGCAGCTGCCAGCATTGGTTGTGGCAGAAGGAGCTGCCGGCCGGCAAGAAGCACATCGGGGCCATCGACAACGAGGGCCACGGCAGCCTGGCCTCCAGCATCAACTTCCCACTCGCCGATATGGAGATCTACACACTGCAGTGCAGAAAGAGAAGGAAGCCCGACACACGATGAGTGATGCGTCCTTCTCCCCCCACCGTCTCGCCTCTCTAAATCTCTCTCTCTCTCTCTCTCTCTTCCTCTCTCCTGGCCCGCAGTAGGTGAGTGTTGTCGCATCCACGACGAGCTCACGATCGACGTGACAGCTGCTGAGAGGGGCAGATAGGCGAGCACTTGGGTAGGTGGGACACACATCTGAAATGCGCTTGCGTCGCATGGTGGAATGCTTTATCACCGACGATGGATACAATCATACGTCCATGTGTGTGTGTGTGTGTGTGTGCGCACAGGGTCTGTTTTGGCCACATGGGGGGTATCTATCTTCATGTCTATAGCCAGTGGAACGCATCCCTTTGTCGACGGACTTCCATGTGTGTGGCGTGTCGCATGCGTCCGTGTGTCGGATGCTGTGCAGACAATACCGACGCACTCTCATCTCGATGTATTGCTTTTGACACACACGGTCCATCACAGTGTATGTGTGGAGCAAGAAACACGCAAGTACCCGCCCATTCACTGTCTCGCCTCTCGCCTCTCGCCGCGCGCACAAGACACTCCACACAGAGACATGTAGCGTCCATCGACAGTCATCATCCACCCACCCAGCTGGTCTGGTCTGCAGATGAATATGTGATGCGTGTGGGGCTTCCTCATCCCATGTGGTGTGTCACCACACATTCACTCGTTGGCGTCGCTCTGCTGCCTGCCGCATGTGCAGGGGGCGGCAAACAGCAGAGCGACGCCGTCGATGCGAATGCATGGCAACAAACCACACGGAGAGAGACGGGCAGACCACAGCCGGGCTATCGCACCAGACACACAGACAGACAGACAGACAGACAGAGGGCGGTAAGTCGTCACAATTATAAGGCAGCCAGGGCTGGTCAGTCTGTGTGGTCTTCACATCCGTCTAGAGCCAGCACAATGCATTGGTTCATCGACGGACCTCTGTGCGTGTGGTGTGTTGCATGGCATGCGTCCATATATGCGATGCTGTCCAGACAATACCGAGACATTCACATGTGGACACACACTGTCCGTCACACACGCAAAGGCATGCCACGTCATGCCCATCAACCCACCCACCCAGCCACCTGGTGGAAACAGACCACACGGAGAGCTCTAGAGCCGGGCAGACCACAGAGAACTGACAGACAGACAGACAGACAGACGGGCAAGTCGCTGGGCAGCCGACGAATAGTTTGAGTGAAGCGGGAGAATGGCAGGGATACAGCCCGATTCATAACTACCTCGACCACGTATATCGACATGAGTGAAGATGGGTACGCAGCAACAGCGATCGCTCCATCCATCCATCCATCCGCACATATATGCGCCCATCGGCCACCAAACACAGAGATGTATGCACGAAAACAGCCAGCCAACCAGACAGACATCCCCCAATGCTATCACCTTGGCCAAATCCAAAGAAGAACAAACACACCGCATACCCACGCAGACAAACAGATAGATACACTGGTGCGGACATGTGCCATTCAGCGATGCACAGAGCCTGCAGCTTCTTGACGGGAAGGAGGCAGTGAGTTCGAAGAAGCCGCAACCAAGCGATTTACCATTAAAGGGTCAGCGCAGCACCAACGAAAGAGTCCAAGGGGTCACGTCAGGCATGCATCACGGGGGTATCGACACAGCACAGCGGCAGGTATAAATCACAGCACAGCACAGCACACTCTCCCATATGCACACCCGCCCATATCGACGTCACTTAGTGAGAGGGAAAGAAGCCCGCAACAAGGCCACGCGCCTATCTGTCGCTACCCTATCGCAATCCTCCATATTGCCCGTTTCGTCCGTGTCACTCACGGCGTCCTGCAGTGCAGCCATACTGAGCTCCTGCCTGTGGATGATAGGCGGGGCCTCAAACAGATCAGATCCTGACACACACACATACATCGATCAACCACAAGTACATCCAGGGCGGGTCAGTGGTGGCTCACCGTGAAGTCTGTCTTCATAGGGTTGTTGTTGACGGCCCCGAGGGCACTGCACTGCGGTAGTGGTGCACCTTGGCCACAGTGGGGTGGGCGGCATCATCATGCTCCGCCGCCTCCCCAGCATAAGCTTCTGCAGGTTGTGAATACCCTGCACCCGCACCCATCCACAAATGCCACACAGAGACACAATGGATGACCGTTCTTCTCTCGTCGTCTCTCCCTCAGTCGATGCACGCTGACCATTCTGGCTGGCGGCCCAGATATCTGGGCATGATGATGCACTTGGTGCGGCTCTTGGGCTTCCCTCTCAGCCCGCAGTGCTCCGTGCGCCGGGTGAACCTCTGTGTGGCGAGCTGGGAAGACGGCCCGTCGGTTTGCCATTCGGTGAAGAAGAAATAGGTGTAGAAGCGGAATGCGTCGACGTCGCCCTTGGGCTCCTCGTTCTCTTTGGCACGGATGGCATCCTGGAGGGTGGGGAGGGGAGGGGAGGGGGAAGGCCGGGTGACGTTGTCGCGTTATCAGTGGGCAGAATGAACTCATCTGTGTCCATGAAGGCCACATATCTGACAACAATCCGATAGGCAGCCATGCAGTGGCCACAGATGCTCTTCTCATGTCACCCACCTGCTGCCCATTCGCCTAAGGTAGCAGTCCTGGACGAGGGCATTCTGCGCGAAGTCCCACAGATCATTGAAGGGCGGCACCGCACTCGGCAGCCGATAGGGCACCACCTCGAGCAGCCCCTCGTGCACATGGTACTCCACCAGCCGCACCACGGCTCCACTCACAGGCACCACACTCTCATAGCTTAAGGTGAAGAGCCGCACCCCCACCCAGCAGCCGCCACATCTCAATGAACTCAGTCAGCGCGTCTACGTCATCGTAGGCCTCCAGTGATGACGGCAATGCGTTTGGGGTCTCGCCGGTGTCTGGTGGATGGCGTGTGGGTGCCTTGGGCACGCCCCACCAGTGACGCACACACACGGAGAGCTCACGCCGGGAGAAATCTGGCGCTCCACTCGCTGGCAAAGGTGACAAAATCCTGCAGCAAGCAGCACAAAAGGTCCAGCCAAATGGAGGAGGGATACGATCACCTGACGGCATTCTCACCTGACCGGCATGACGACGTGGCTCACGGACGGACTGTCGAAGAAGAGCTCCACATCAGCAGGAGCCCTCATAATTGGCGAGCCACACAGAAGAAAATGCGCCGCATAGGTCATGTTCTGGTGCTCAGGCCGCCGCTCTGTCACCACCGGCGCGTCGTCGATCGTCTGCTTTTCCTCCCCACGCATCACCAGCAGCCATCTTCAGCCGGCACTTGAGGTTATCAAGAGCCGCCAGGTAGCCCACGCGATTCGCCGCTGCAGAGGGGATAGGGAGGGCCTGGCAGCCGTCTGACGACGCCCTATGGGTCGTAGTAAAGCCCTCGACGAGTGACAGCTCCTCTCCTTGCAGCGACCACCCACCGCTGCAGCACCGTAAGGATCTGGGTCTCATGCGTGCTGAGCTGATCCCCCGGATGCAATGAGTGCCGTGTCGAGCCTGCTGCTGACAGATGCGATGCTGAGTCACACCAATTGCTGACGAAGCTGCTTGGCTGCGCATCGTCGTCCCATTGGGCCGGACCAGCCACCGCCGGCAGCCAAAGAAAGAGGCGACGAAGAGAAGCAGCGCCAAGAAGACCATCCTGCCCGCTCGCAGGCCACGTCTGACTGCTGAGTTGAATGGGGATGGCTATCCCACGTCCATCCAAGCGTCCATCATCATGCTGCCGAACACTCAATGACACGTCACGGCTGCAAGCATCGCTGCGGTTTGCGCAGAGCATCAGAAGAAGCCTTCGAAGCCGTTTCTTCTTTTCTTCTTTCGCTCGTGCAAGCTTGCATGCAGCGGGGGGCTCGGGGGGGGCCGAGACTTGGCCGAGACGGCAGAGTCATGCTTTCCGAGAGGGCATACTGCCCCCACCCTAGCCCCTAACCCGAACCCTAACCCGAACCCTGAACCCGAACCCTGGGAATGGGGTTCGGGTAGTGGGGTCGAGACCTCCCTTTAGCGAAACGATCCTAGCCTATGGAGACCCGGGTGGGGGCATCCTGTCCGTGTCTTTAGGGCGGAACGTGAAACTTGCATCCATCGGGTCTGGGATATAATTGTTCGGATGCAGTAGTTTGTTGCCGGGGGCGTCGTCATCATGGACGACCGAATGCCTAATCGTCCGCCTAGGCCTCCGCGTGAGTGCGCCACCTTCTCACGCCCAGAGAGGCCCCAGCTCCGATTCAGGTTTGGTCAGGACTCCGATATCGAGTTCACCGCCCCCGTGGACCGCCTGAGCCTCAGGTTCGACCCGCAGTGTAAAGTGAGTGCATTCATGGTGCAGTGGCAGCGACAGGGGGTGCTTCATCGCAAAGCTGTGGTGATTAGTGGAGATCTCGGGCTGTTTCGTCGGTTGGAAGCGCACCTGGTGTATGGAGAACCGCTGGGCGAGCGCGACCCACACCTTCTCCGCCATCAGCAGATGTTCACCAACTTCATCATATTCGCCAATACAGGTGGGAAAGGGCCAGTTGGGCAGAGAGCCTGGTTGGGCAGAGAGCGTGGAGGGATTGACGCACGGATGCAGATGCCTTTCTTTCATTCAGGAAGTGGCAGCGTAGATGCGGGCTCCGCAGGAGATGGCGCCGCACAAGCAGCTGCAGGCGCCTCAGACCAGACTCCGGTGGGTTATCATGCTTTGTTGGAATACTTTGATGGTGCACATGTGATGTGGTTTTTCTCAGCAAGGCGAAGCCTCTCCTCCTGGCGCTGCTGGTGTTGAGATCGAACAACCTGACACATCGCCAAATCAGGTCATTGCAGTACTACAAACACACCACACACCCAACGCATAGCCCCACCACGGGTCTTTATGGGTGCTTTTAGATACCCCCTCCCGCCCAACCGCAACCGTTTTGGAATGGAACCATCTCTCCACTCTCTGCTCCCAAGGCAAGCAAGCATTCACATTTTCAGCTGCAGGTTACTTATTGGACTTGGCGTGTAATGCAGGCTACGTTTGAGAGGCTTGAAGCATTCCCCGCAACTGGCAAGGTCACATACCTGCAAGGATGCACAGATGCACTTAATGTAGCACGGAAACGACCTATATGGCTGCATGTATGCGCAGGTGGGCGGAGGTGGCCAGGGTGGCGATAAGTTGTCTGGCGGGCAGCAGAAGACACCAACTAACCAGGTGGGCAAAGTTGCCCGGCAAACCCTCAAGTGAATACGGATGTGTTCGCATACGCGTTCATGCCCTCTTGTATGGATGTGTGTACACACAGGCGGAGGGCCAAGCCGAGACACATACCAAGGCACATACCAAACAGGCGGGCACCGCAACACGCACATACCCACATCCACACGAACACAAACCCTATTGTGGCACACATGCGCAGATGGCTGGAGGTGCTCAGGGTGGTCAGCAATCGTCTGTCGAGCAGCAGAAGATACCACCTAGTCAGGTGGGCAGCCCCTTGCGCCAAAACGAATGTGGTCGCAGTCATGTTTGCACGCTCTCCTCTCCCCCCTCCCCACCTCATCCCCATTCAATGGCGGACAAACCCCATTCACGTCGTTCTGGTGCGATGGATGTCTGCAGGGACAGGCGGGCGGTGGGGCTTCGCAGACAGTGCGACAGAAGGCAGGGACAATAGAAAGTTGAATACGTTTGACTGTCCGATTGATAGGCGTTGATGTGAAGCCGAGGAAGCTCTTGCTGAGAGGGAAAGAGCGCACAGCTGGTGTCAGAGCTGTGTACGGGTTCGGTCGTGATCGTTCTTCATCAGCCACATGCCG